GACTGACAGAGCATTCTTTCTCTTTTTTCTTTTTTTTTTTTCTTTAATTGGCTGCTGTGACAGCCCTTAACCCTCAAGTATAGATTGCCTTTCCTGAGCTCTGCATTTTCTGACTCTCTGTACTCTGATGGAAGCAAATAAATAATGTTGCTTTGCTGCACATCAGCAATCTCGGATAGGAGAACTGTTTAGAGCGGGAGGCAGTTTGGTAAATTTTGTTTACTGTTGCTTTTTTGTAAAGGTCCCTTTACAGGGTGATTGTCCAGCGCAGCAAAACGTCTCAAGACTTAGTTCCTTTTATTTATTGAGGTTTTAGACTTCTGAGGTCTCAGAATTGTCCTGGTTTTGTCCTGGACCTTCATCAACCACATCTGGAAGAAAACAAGCAAGTAATTAGACCTAGGTATAATTGTGCTTTTCTTCAGAATGCGTAATGATTGATTTTCCTATTTAGGAAAACTGTTGACACAAAATAGCAGTGACTAATCTATTTCTTATTTCTTATTTTTAGACAAGATTACTCTTGTATTTAGACAAGATTACTGAGAGTAGCAACTTCAGTTACATCTGGATCTCATAGGTTTTACTACAGGTAGGAGACTGGTTGATAAGAGTAAATACTAGCGATAGAGAGAAGTGGAGACCTTTGCTGATTTTATTAGAATTATGGCAATTACCCATAAAAGCTTCTTGACATGTTTAGGAAGATGATGGGGAAATCTAAGAACAGAGTATTATCCATCCTGGGTTAGACCAAAAAGCTGCTTAGTCCAAGATCTTCTTTCCAGTAGTAGCCAAATCTGGACAATTAGAGAGGCAGTTGGTCATGACAGAAGAGACAGAGGTAATATTCATACATAAATATGTTTTGAAAAAATAAAGGAAGATAAACAAGTGCTAGGGCTGGAAAGCTCAAACTTGTGATACCTTCTATAAAGGTGATTTAAGGTATTTTAGCTTCAGAATTAACTTTATGACATTTGTGTTTAAAAAAAAATTATGTGGGTGAGTAAATTGCTTAAAATGGCTCCTAAGTGATGGCATACCTGCACTGTTCTAGCAAGTCTTTATTCCTTCCTTCCCAAATCTGTGCTGAATGCAGAGGACTCTTATGATCCCTGTTTTCAAGCCCTCCACAAATTTATTTTAAAAAATATAAAAGCCCTCTACTATTATAAAAGTCCTCTACTATTTATTTGTGTTCTGATAGCATCTGCCACTGCTATACGACGCTTCGGTACGTGAAAGTGTACAGTCCCTGGTTAGAGCCTGAATAAATTCAACCCAAGGAGACCACGATAACAGAAGTACCCAAAGCTGTGAGTTTTCTTCTACGTACCCCTGGCCACAGGAGCACCCCGTCAGTAGCTGCTTCTCCCCGGTACAATTGTCAGGATGAGTCCTTGTCCTGCCTTTGAGCCTACAGCACTGTTTCTTCCTCAATTATTTCTCGGCTGAGTTACGTAGAGAGGAATAGCGTTTCAGACATCGTGACTGAACGAGTTAGCACCTACTTCAGTGCTAACCAGCAACGTACTAAGTAAAATAAACATTTCAGTTTTGCAAAGGACACTGTCATGTTTTTCAAGCTACTAAAAGTTTATGCAATATACACCTTGGACCTCACATGTGGAATGGGAATAAAGATTGCCGATGTCTTGATTTATGCTCTCTGGCATAGGCTGATCTCTGACCTCCCAGCTGCTTGGCTAATGTCACTTTTTGTAAGCATCGTGGAAAAAAGAGAATTTAAGGAGTTTGATTTCTCAGCTTCTATGGCTACCACGTTTGTCCCAGCTCCCAGGTATCTGAAAGATTTCTCTTATTTCACTGCTTATTTTTAGGTGCCTTTCTTCCCAAGAGCACCCTAGGCTGATTAAATACACCTTAAATGCCAGATAAGTTAAACCTGAAAAATTTAACCTAACAAAACAGAAGTTTTGAAAGAAAGTTGTAAGCTGTTCTTGATATACCTCAAAGTCCCTTAGTTGTTTTAATTATCTCAGCTACATTGTGGGCGGGAGAGGAGTTACTTCTTCTGAGTGCATCTTCTGAGTTTCTCTGCCAGCGATGGTTTGGGGATTTCTCCTGTCTCAGGTGTCTGGATGGTCTTCACGTTTTCTGGTGAGATTATTGAGGCAGAAAAACCTCTCCTCAGTAGCTGATTCAAGAATGTTTGTCTTTTTTCCTGTTACGTTGATAGGCTGTAGCAGATGCCAACTATCATGGGCAGCTCGGAAGGGGAATTCAGATATGTTCCTTTTAAACTAGGAGTTTTGGTAAAATAAGGTTGACCTGCACTGAAAGTCCCAGGTTCATAAAAGCAGCTCTTATTACTCCAGTGGTATTGTGTACATGGTTACAGCATCCTCCTGGTTTCACGAACAATAGGGTTTTTCTGTCACGGTTATACAAGAAAATATAGTGCCATCTTGACAGAGTTACAGCTTTTTGAAAAGATATTCCCTGAAAATGTATAAATGGCCTCAAGAAATTCTCTGGACTGGGAAAGGCTTTACTGTATGTAATAAAGAAGACAGAATTGTGCTATTAGAAATCTTTTAATCAGATGTTCATATTTAATTTTTTTTCTTTGCCTTTATCACTGTTAGCAAGGATTTAGCTGGAAAATTGTGGACACTGGTATTTACAGAACTGGAATAAACTTGTGGAAATGTCTCATAATGGTACTAAAACCAGATTGCAAATGGTGAATTAGATCCACTTTCTTATTAGAAGAGTCATATAAAAGCAATACTGTAGTAAAATAAAGAATTACCCTTCACTCAAAGTGATAGACCCACATAGGTGAACTTCTGTGGGATAATGGAAAATGTGCCCTCCTGTACAATTTGTTACTCAAAGTGAAATGAATTCTGTGACAACGCGTGCTGTCGCACACGTCTCGTGGACGGCGAGTGTGTGTGTGTGCGTGCGCTGTCCTCTTCGGTCTATATGCTCCACATACCCCCCGTGCAGTCATTCCAGGCTGGCAGCACGCCGCGGTCTGGGCTTCCGTGTCTCAGACGCACTCTGCTGTGAGCTTGCTTTATCCCCTCCGCTGAAATGCAGTACCGTGTGATTAAATTCGCTTACCCTAAAATTATTAGGAGTACTGAGGTGGTATTTGTTGTGTCTAAGAGCACAGTGTTTAAGGAAACCGTTTGTCCCTCCCAAAGGAAAAAAACAACAGCTAATGCACACAGAAACTGTGAAACGAGTTGGTGCTGAAAAATACAGTTTTGGTTGCAAAAGCTGCTTCTTCTTGTAGCTGTTTCTCTCACGGCTCCATGTATAGTTTCATGGCGTGCGTGGCAGGCGAATGCAAAGCTGGTAAGTGAACCTTCAGGAAAAAAGGAGAGTTTTGCAGCGTAGATGTGGACAGAGCATTCCTTGCGTTCGGTCAGGAAGAAGTAAGTAGGGAGATAAAGGGGCAGAGGGAAAGCACTGTTAATTAACTGCTCGTTACCACAGGGTGTATTTGTATGTTCACTAGCCAAATTAATGGCTTCCAAACGTACCGCCGTGTGGCACGTTCTGTCGGCTTTCCAGTGCGTTATAATCCTATTTCTGCTTTTTTGTACAGTAAGAAGTTCCTTTTCCAATGGAGCACATTCATTAGATATCTTATGACCAAATCATTTCTTGGTGTAATGTTATATTTAGAGCAACGTTAATATTAAACATGCGGCATAATTACTTCTGGGCAAATCTGTCCTGGGCGAGGACTGAGAAAGGAAGTGCTTTTGCACTCCAATCCTACATGGAGAAGGAATGCAGTAAGATGTACAGGGAGTATATTCTTTGTGATTTTATCTGTTTGACATCCAGGTGATTTTTTTTTAATGGTTGTTTGATTCTCCGGATTACTGGGCCCTGAAAATTGTTGAATGAAATAAGCTAGAGTCTTAAGGTAATTCCTAGTGTTCACACATCCGAAAGGGGAGCAGGCTCCATGCAGCTGCACTGGGAATGTCAGGGAAGGCAAAAGCTGGGAACGCTGTCGGGTCAAACGCCTTCTGCAGCATTGTACGTAGAGAACTGAAGTTGGCAAGAATTAATTTCAGTGTTATCTGCAGTAAATCTTACTGAAAGTGAATGCTAAGATGGTGACAAATACAAACCGGTGAAGAATTTAATCCATGTTCCAAGAAAGTATGCGGGGAAGTGTGGCATTTTTCTCCATTAGGATCTGCACAAGTCCTCTGTTGTCTAATGTGCAAATTGAGCTTTTATCTGTGCACAGACAACCCTGCGCATTTTTGCAAGCCTCATTTTAAAGGCTGATGGATGTATTTGGATATCACTGGAGGGTAAACGTAGGCAAATATTGGTTCTGTGATAGTAGCTGCTGTAGTTCTCTCCCAGCGGCTTGAATTCACCAGCAGAGCTGTCTGGGGACGTCCCGTGTGGGGTCCTCGTGTCCTCCCACTCCCTGCACAGCCACAAGCACACAAAGCCTGCGTGGCCGCAGCAGTGTGGCACTGGGAAACTTTCAGGGTTCAAAAATGCAGATAATGGGAGCATCAGTCCATGGCTGTATTTTATAGGGCAATAAGGAACACGCGGCTCTATCAATTGGTTTTTTCCAACTAACTTTAACTTATTAAAATAAAAACCAAACAGATGGTGTATGTGGTTGTTGTATAAATGATTGCTTGTTATAATAAATCTTTGCTTAATTTCTTTAAACATTTCAAATAATTGCCCTAATTTGAATGGTTCCTACATTTGCTTGAACTACTAGGCAATGCCAAAGGTCAGTTATGCGATCACAAAATGTTAGTTTTATCTTCGTTTTAGTGTAACACATGAATTGTGAAAAGCAATTAGACTAGAGTAGACGAAGTTCTTCAAGTATCTTTGTGCAAAGTAACTTTTGCTGCTGCTCCTTGACCTGATATTGTCATAGAGCACAGTGATGTCCTTTTCCCTAGTGTTGGTTTTGTTTCCTTTTTTTTTTTTTTAAATCACTAATAGAATAAATATTTCTATTTTAGTCCTCCTCGGCCTCTGACTAACATGAATGACACCATGGTGACCCACATGTCCTCTGGAGCACCTACACCGACAAAAAGGTATGCGTGCCTTGCGATATTGGTTGTTTATTTCCATGAGAGGTAAAAAAATACAGAGTATGGATTTTGTATCCCTGGGACTCTTCTAATAGATTTCAAATAACACTGCCACTTCAAAGTGTGTATGCAGCACTCATAATATATGGAATTGTTTGCAGTGCTTCATTTTGTTCTCTCTGAAGAGTGATTTTCTTTTATTGGAATAGATGTTATTACGTGAGTGTGACTGAAGAAATATCTAAAGAGCGCTAAAGAGATTTTTGTTTTTCTTTTTAAATAGAGCATTACTTCTAAAACTGTTCTGAGAAAGGCTGGTCTTGTTGTATCATAGGCTCCTCTGCTTACAAAGGAGAGTAATTCTGTCCTGCTGGAGACATTTCACATAACGAGTATACTGCGTTGCTGTTGTCAACACTTGTTCTCCACACCAAACACAGTTGAGCTGCCAAAGTTCTTTCAAGTTGCCCATGTCTACCTGAGGCATTTAGGTTTGAGCTGAATTTGGGTTTACATTTACTTAGTTATATACGCGTAAATTATTGTATGGATGTACGTATGTAAATATGCAAAAAACTTGTTGAATCATGTATTTGCACTTTTCTTTCTTGTTAAGATAGGCTGGGGAGAATAGCAAGGTGGTTCACTGGAGACTTCACTTGTCCAAAGCTGTGAATGAATAAATGTTCCCCGCAGGGAATGAGAAACTGAACTGTCACTATTTTAGTGACAAGGTGGTACTCGAGGCAGGCCAGATCCGTCATTTTCAGCAGCAGTTCTTCAAACAGAACTAAGCAAAGGTCCATGTACTTTCCTTCTACTTTCCAAGACAAAAAAAATCAGTTGTGTATGCAGGTTTGAACTGGCTACATTAAAATGATTTTAAACGCTGTCTCTAAATCATCCCATGTAGTGTTTACAAACACTACACAACATGCAATACACTGTATGACGGGATGTGGTAGAGTCCCCATCACTGGAGGTTTTCAAGATGCAATTGGACAAGGTGCTAGATAATCTTATCTAGGCTACCTTTCCCATGAAAGGCTGGACCAGATGATCTTGTGAGGTCCCTTCCAACCTGGGCTGTTCTATGATTCTATGAAATACACCTTATTCTATGAAATACGCCTTTCGCTGAATTAGAAGCAAAGAGGCTGAGAGAGCAGACAATTCCCAAAGCTAGTGCTTTACAGAGTATTCATGTAGGCAGTCCTTAAGCACATGACCCATAACATCTTCTCATTTATTGGGTTACACGCAACCTTGTGGGCAAGGTCTTTTGCATCGTCTCTACTTTAACCTCTGTTTGGGGTCCAAGTTTGTTCGGTGTAGTGCAGACAACAATCGTCTTCAAATCTCTGTCAGAGAAAATCCTGCTTTAGGCACGCATGTCCTCTGTGCACACAAGCTTGAAACATCGCCTGAGTAGCAATGTCTGCAAGGTTCTCCTGCAGCCTCTTCATTCTCTTGCATAAAAGGTTTCACAGAATGGAATGGTACAACCCTCTGTCAGTTCTGACTCAGGAGCAACAGTCAATTTGGGTAGTGATCACCTAGTTCCTTAGTTTCTACTTTTTTGTTTAACCAGCTTTTCCCATTTTCTTAATCCAAACTGGATAATTCACACTTAAAAGATCTCTATTTCCATAGTCATCAAGACCATCTCACCTGTCTGGTAGGGAGAGCTTCCTGATGCCATCCTGTCGTGTTCTGGCTCACCAGCATTTCACCTCTTTCCAGTACGTGATTGGTTTCTGTGCTGGTCAGTGGACACGATAGGTGCCTTTTTGTCTCACGGAATAGCGTAGTCCCGGGAACTATTCATTCCTCTGCTTGTTTCCACTTGGAGATTTCTTTCTTTCTCAGATTGTGTCTACTGTTATCTATAAAAATCACGTCTGATCTGGAAGAAAGAGGACAGAGTGAAACTTGAGTCAAGAATATCCACAGCAAGTATCTCTGTGTTTCTCGCTTTGCAAAATACCAGGAGACAGACTCATGCAAAATATAAGCTGAGCACTGAATATTCTGCAGGGTGGTCTCTGATGGAGGAGGTGAAGCAATCCTCCACAGATACACTTTTCAGTTGCTGATTTAATTCAGGCACATGGGAACAAATACTTTATTACTAAAAGAGCAAATGAGAAGATGAAACAAGTATTGGCTTTATTGCCAAGTACCAGTATTGACCCTTAAGTACATTTTACCTAAGGAAACAGGTTTTGGGTTTTTTTTTTCTTATGTCAACATCCAGAAACTCATTCAGGATACATCTTTCAGATCATAATCTGCCAGCTGTGCTTCTGTTCTTCTGTGGGCAGGGCCTAGCCTACCTATTCCCTTAATTTGAGAAGGGGGACGCAACAGAAAATGCTAGGAAAATACGATATCAAGCACTAATCCGAAATAAGAAGAGGGCTGGATATTACGACCTGACGCTTCAACTTGTTTTCTTGGCCATGTAGACCTTACAATACACTGTTGAGATAAGGAGTAGCAGGACAGCATTTTTGTATGAGATAATGAAGGGGAAGAAAATCAACAGCTTATGGTAGGTAGGTATTAGTAGGTAAAGTATTGTTGAACATGAACACTAATTAGCTTATGACAAGACCTCTACATTGTCAGGGGCTTTAAGAGTACCAGAATTTCATGCTGATATTGTATCCTGTCACCCATGATGACAAGTAGCAGGTGCTTAGCTAAGATTATAAGCAGCAAGTCATTAAGTCAAGTCAGTAAGTCAAATTTTGCTCTTGGTTTTTGCACTTGCTCCCATCTTGGAGCACTCCTTAGTTTACTTCCTGATTTGCAGTATATATAGAGACCACTGCTTCATAAATGCAGCATCCACAAGTGAGTTCTACAATTATGATCTCTTTAAGAAAGCTTTTCCTTTTTTGTTCAAAAATTCACCTTCTTCATGCTGTTGAGGGTTGCATGTATCCCACCTGCTTCTAGCCTAAGAGTCCTTGTCTACTTAATTTTTCCTTGCACAGAAGGTAATCTGTAATTTGGATCACGTTCGTTGTCCTTATCAGTACCTCTTCTTCCTTCAACATTTCTTTTTGATGTGGGATGACCAGAACTGCACCTAATAGTCAAATCTGAGCCCACTTTGGTGTTCCAGTCCCATATTCATCTGCTTGTGTGAATTGCAGGGATCCGCATAGCTCTTGTGAGCCGAGACTGTCCCAAAGCCACGCAAGTAAAGAAATCTTTCTTTTGTCTGATGTGGGCAAGGATACTCATACATCTGGAGTTGATCACAAGGATCCCAGAAATACTGGATGTAGAAACTACAGTGATCAAGGGAAACATAAATAGCTTTTCAACAGTGCTACCAAGATTAGTATTTTGACTAATGAGGACATGATAGAATCAGCAACAGGGCTTTAGAATCAGCAACACCCTTTGGCTTGGAGCATTTTTGTATTTGTAAAGCAGCAAGGTCTCTGTTGCTGTCTGTTGTCCAAGACAAGATCAGGTAGACCAAAGATAATTCAGAAATAAAGATTTGAGAAATCAGACCTGTTTGGACATATGGCTCATCATCTGCCTCTACGTAGCCTGCAATTGTCAACTACCAAGACTTGCTTAAAAAGTTCCTCATGAGAATCAGCTATCATTTGCTAACTCAGACCTCATGCATCTGTAGAATAGAGCTGAGTGAGATCATCAAGAAAACCTGGATGGTAACAAAAATGTCAAGATAGGCTACTTCAGCCATTGGGGCCGATCCTTGGTCACAGTTGCTACCGAACAACATACCAGTCGATTGCAAGCAGCTCGTATTTTGAAAAACATTGAAGTAACTATAGGTGACTTGCCATTTAAAAGCACAGAACTTTTCTGTACTCTAATAAGCCATTTCCTCAGCGATTCAAAGGCTACACTGAGGTAAGTCAGGATGAAGACATCTACAGCACATATACTTTACAGATACCATCCCCAGCAAAGGCTAAGAAAAGAAGTTGGAATAAACATGGAATAAACACCAAAGAAACGACCTGATTCTGTAAAATTACCATTGCGTCATCCTTTGTCCACAGTTTGCTCTTCCTGAGAGGCGAGACATGCGCAGAAGTGTGGAATGGCACTAGACCAGTCCAGAACATATCTTTAGAAAGCCGAAATCATCTTACTTTCAAGTGTCATCTTCTGTCAGGCATCATGAGAACTCACAGGCAGCAAATAAATGGTAGATGCCATCATCTGTGATCACCATACCCGTATTAGTACCTGCCTCTTACCAAGGTCCTGGCTCATCCCTCTTCAAGGATCCCACTTTCAGAATTCTGTTAGGAAAGGTTACTTCATCTGGCAGATTCTGCAAGAGTTCATGGGAAGAGGCTTCTTCTCTCTATACTTGCTTATTCCAAAGAAGGAATGGGGGATTTATCTTTTCCTGGACCTGGGGGGAACGGACAGGCTGCCTCAGGTTCAGGTAGTAATGTTTGCCTCCATCATTCCAGCTCCTCAGGCTCTCAGCTTGCAGAACGCATACTTCTCCATAACCACTCAACAAACCCCTGGGGATGTACCTGAGGCTCGCAGTGGGACCCAAACACATCTCTCGAAAGGTATTGTCATTCAGACTCTGCTTCGTGCCTTTGTTCTTTGCAAAATATCTAGTTGTGGTGGCTACATACACCTGTCCAAGTCTAGTCAGGGTTGGTTTGGTTTTGATCACATAATAGTGAGAAATACAGGTCTTCATCAGAGCTTCTCAGGTGGTTCAGCTGAGGTTCTACAGGGAGTGATCAGTGAAAGCCGTTTCAGATTATAGCATTTCTATGATCCAAGCCATTTCCATCTCTGCAAGGCTTGCTTGCTGGCGTTACTGAGTTGAACTACACTGAAAAGTACTTCTAAAGTAGCATAGACTATCTTAATCGGGCCGTGTCCACACATACCAAAAAAAATGCTGCTTGCGAGGTTTTACTTGATACTGCTAAAACTTGGGCTCAGGTCAAGTATACATATTTCAAAAAGAATAT